TTCATTCTTCTTTTTGGGGGTTTTTTCCCCAAATTGTTAAAACTTTTTTTATGGTTGCCCAATTAATATCAAATTTGGTACGGTAGTTCAGTAGGCAAAAATACATATTTTGATGCTAAGTTTGGTTCTCTATGTCCCTTGGTTTGGAGCTGGGGTGGTGGGGTAGATTCCTTAACTTTATATAAGAATGCATTGGCAAAGAGAGATAACTGCTTAAGATGTTCCTATTCAGTAAACTGGATGCTACTAGGAGTCCCATGGGATTAATTAGCTTTCCTCCTGAAGAAAATCCAGAGCATTATCTTTATCTGTCACATTGAGATTAATTACCACCTCTGTCTGCAAATGAAGTTTGTTTTGAAGTTAAGCCCTATTTACATGGTCTGACTTGTAAGATGTGATTTCAGATGTTTCATTTACACAGTATGATTTGTCAGACGTGAAGTTCATTAATATTTCCCTCTAAAAAATATTTGTTTACATTTCACAATGGAAGATGATGATAGTTTAATAGTCATTTGTGTTTTAATAAATCTACTTCTTCTTGATATAGTTCTACTAATGTTTCAGTTTGTTCTATAGTTAATTTCAGTTCTCTCTTCTGTCCAGCTGATAGAAATGTCTTCTGAGGACTTCCCCTTATTTTAATTGCAATAAATAAGATAAATTGATATTGAATTATCTTTTGGAGAGAAAGAGCGGGAAAAATTCACGTTAGTTCTTCTTTATATAGATCAACCTCTTTGGCCTTTTCAATGATTGGTTAAAACCATTTGACTTGCCAGACGGAATAAAGCATGTTTCTATTCCATCTGACTTCATATCTGTCTTATGATTTTCTGATTTACACGGTATGATTTGTAAGATGTGGCAAGTCACATCTTACAAATCAGATCGTGTAAATAGGGCTTTAAATCAATTTGGAATGTTATGAACACTCTGAAATGTTGATTTACATATAGATGTTTATACTTTATTTTTGTTAAAATAGTTATGATTTCATAGAATTCTAAAAACAAGAAATAGATTAAAGAAGATATATTTTTTATTTCGATAAAAAAATATTTTTATATTTTACTTTTTTTCCCTTTATGTAAATTCAATAATATTATTAATTTTTAAGGTAGTTGTATAAAAACCCCATTCTATCATTAATACTGAAAAAGTTCTTATTGTAACTTTAGAAGAAAATGATGAGAGAGGTATAATTAATCCCTTGGGATTAATTATCAGCCTGCTGCGGAAAATTTAGTAGGCTTTTCTTAATCTGCCACTTTAAGATTAATGAAAACCTTTGTCTGCAACTGCTGTTTGTTTGAAGTTAATGATATTTGCATTCATTGAAGGCTGGCATTTTATATTAGATAAGCTTCATTATTGTTTGAATATATATTCAATGTTAAGTTGTTCTTTGCGGCCAAATGTAAATACAAGGATATTATTTACAGGTTTTTGAATATTCAGGAATTATCTTGAAATTTTAAGAATACATTTGCTGTTGTTATTCTTCGTACATTTCTTAATCATAATCCTTAAGTTGCACCCTTATAATTCTATCCCATGGCGGGGCCCTTGCTGACTGGTCAGTTTTCTAGTTGTAAATAAAGCATGCTTTCTGCTAATATGTACAGATTGTATGACTTTTTTCCGTTGTGTAGTAACTGAAAAATGTTAAGTATTGATGTATTTGTTTACAGACAGTGAGGATTTGCGAGCTGATGGGAGGGTCTTGGGAATGACAGAAGAAGAAGTGAAGGAAGTGTTAGAGGAGAAAGAAGCCAAGGCTAATGCCCAGATTCTGGAGATGGTAAGGGAAAAAAATAACTTCCCCAAACTCCCAATTATTAAACTGAGCTTAAACATGCCCATGTCTACTTTGTTGATCTTGATTAAATTTTATATTAAATTTGCTCACTCCAAGGCACTGAATTGAACACACTCAAACAGGTTTATTCCTTGTTGCTGAGCTGTCACCCAATACTTGCTCAATTCAAGGTCACTGAACTGAAGACACCAAACAGGCTTATCTTGTTTCTGTGCTGAAGCACTGTGATTGAAAACTTGACCACTCGGTGTTTTCCCTAAGAACTGGATATGGACAAAATTGACTGCTTCAATAGACAAAAATGCTACTCTGAAATAAGAAAAAAATAAAAATCTAATTGTTGTTAGGTCCACAGAGACCTCAGTCCCTAACCTGTTACAACTGATCTCTAACCCTTTACTTTCATATGAAAGGAAAGCACTGCTCACTCACAGTTACTGATCTGAACACACAACATCCTCACCATTTATTACCAACTAGCAAAAACAAACATAGGTATACATCATGTGAAACCAAGAAAGAGTTAATTCAAGCAGTTATGGCTCTTTCTTTAACAGGTGGGTGATCTCCCTGATGCTGAAGTGAAACCAGAAGATAATGTTCTGTTTGTATGTAAACTTAACCCTGTCACTACAGACGAAGACCTGGAAATCATATTCTCAAGATTTGGAACAATTAAAAGGTTTGCAGTATGAAATCAGTTTATTATGACTAAATCTAAATAAATGGGACCAGATCAGAGGGAATGCACATGTGTTTTATGTGACTTAAAATGAAATTTGACACAAGATTTGCTCTAGTATGGAAAGTGTGAACAAAGGGAGCTAACTAGAAAGTTACACATTGGGAATAATTGTTTTCTGCAAATTAAATATTGAAATAAATACCATGTCCTGTAATTTCAGTTGTGAAGTGATCAGAGATCATAAAACCAAAGAATCCTTACAATACGCATTTATAGAGTTTGAAAAGGTTTGTAAAACAAATTGTTCATACATGTTATAAGCCTCAATTCATCAAGTTCAAAATCCTTGACTCTCGACAAAATGAAAACACACTTTAAATATAAACTTGTATGCTTGCACAAATAGCACAAAAGAATGAAGGAATCTTTAGTATATGTGTATAGTATGAGAGATTAAAATGATGTGGAAAACTGAACTGACATTTTCCATTTTATATTAGACAGAAGATTGTGAGAGTGCTTATTTTAAGATGGACAATGTCCTGATTGATGACCGCAGGATACATGTGGACTTCAGCCAGTCCGTGTCCAAGCTCAAATATAAAGGTTGTTAACATGGACATTTTTTCCTTGCTCCACATGACATTAATTTTGGATTACATGTAGATGTTATGAAATATACATTATAATAAAAAATGATAAGTGTTGTTAAATTTGAAGAAAGAAAGATCTTTTAATTAGAGCGTAAATGAAGGAGAAAATTCAATTTTTTTTTGAAAAATGTATCTTTTGAAATATGTAGAAATGACTCTGCTAAGAAAGTCAATTCCGGATTTTTTTAATTACAAAGTTTGCTGTATTAATTTTTTTTTCATTTTCATTTACAAATATAATGACTTATAAATAATTGTCTGAAATTATAATTGTTTCCTATGGGACATAATTCAATCATTTTCATTCTATAAACAAAATTAATATGTGTTGATGACAAACATCCATTTATCAATAAGAGTTAAATCCTTCTGAATCATTTGTAACATGTTTGCCATGGACAGGAAAAGATGGACAGAAGTCAGAGGAGACAAAGGAAAAGTACGTCATCAGGGATCGGACCACTAGACAAGACAAGTATCCTTTGGCAAAGTTTTTCTCAGCCAGTCAGGCCATTTCTCACATATATTTTTAATGAGATTTTTTGTTTCTTTTTATTCACTCAGACAGGTGAAATGTAAACAAACATTCATGATCTCATACAACTAAATACTTCATAAAAAACTGACAATTTAAAATGGTGGTTTTAATTAAAAAGATATTTTATTGTAATCAGTCTGGTTCAATTGTGACAAAAAATTGATCCGACTTATAAGCGGGTCAATGGCAAATCCCACCGAAATAACGTCAAAAAATGAAACCGACTTATAGGCGAGTATATACAGTACATGCATACAAAGAATTGTGATAGTTGTTTATATCTCTTAACCTTGTCTAAGTAGATATGATTTAGTTTTTGATGATGATGAAGAAGAGGAGAAGAAAACGAAATCAAAGAAGAAAAAGAAACACAAAGACAGAAGGCAAAGTAGAAGTGAAAGTGACAGTGAATCACACAGAAAGAGAAAGGTCAGTACAGCAAAACTCAGTTAGTAAGAACACGGATATTGCGAATTTACGGATATAGCGAAGTCATCTTGGATCCCCAGCTATATAAATTTAATGAATTTCTTATACGGTTATAACGAATTACGGATATAGCGAAGTAATTTCATGGGTCCCAGTGACTTCGTTATAACCGAGTTTTGCTGTAAAAAGAATAATTGTTACACTGTTAGGGCAGGGTACTCTCTCACTTATAGTCAATACCACTTTTTATCTCAACATGGAGAACTTCTATACCAAATTCATGTACTTTACACATTTTCCCTAAGAAATTAAGATTGCATAAACTGATAAAGACATGGCCCCATCATAGTCCATATTATTTTAGGTTATACAGTTCATAGTTTAAAACTATTTTAAATTTGCTATTAGCTGTCGATACAAATTAATTTAAAATCTTCTGCAACTCAATCATTTCAATGTTTTAATGGGACATTTCATGTGTGTTAATTTTTCACAAAGAGCATATATTTTGTATTTTAATTTTGATCTGCAAATGGGATTTTAATCAAATTTGAAAACAAACTCTTGAATGTACATTGTAGTGATTGATTTATTGCAGAAGGAAAGAAGTCGATCCCTCAGTCCACAGAGAAAAAACAGAAGATCCCGTAGTCCCAAAAACAGGTCAAGGTCACCAGGGAGAAAATACAGGGAAGATGACGACAGAGGCAGCTCTAAAATGTCTAAATATAGAGATGACAGACACAGAGAGGATAAATATAGCTCACAAAGGTCATCTGAGAGGTCATACGAGGATAGAGACAGGAGAGGTGATAGAGACAGTTATAGAGATCCTGACAGGAATAGAGACTCTGACAGGAATAGAGATAGGAGGAGGAGTAGAGAAAGAGACAGTTATAGAGATAAATACAGGGACAAAAGAAGATGATGCTGAAAATATGAGTGAATTTATGCCAGAGGGTTGTACAGTTAATTTTGTAAAATGGATTAAAGGGATTTAAAATCATTATTATTAGTTTGTAAGGGTCATAAAAGGGGAACTTGGCTGTAATTCAAATCTAATAATCTAACTTGCTGTTACCTTTAAAAGATGAAATTCTTTAACATTTGGAATACTTTTAGAATGTTAATTAATAAGATAAATCTCAGACACCATAGAGTCAGTCACTGTTTCATATTAAGATATTTTATAGACACATGTGTTTGTTTCACACAGTTTGCTAATTAAACTATTCTACTTATACAATGCATAAAACAGCATAATGTAGGAACCAAGTGTCTTTGTTTTCTGACAAAGGACAATAATGGTCAAGTAACATTAAACTATGTGAAAAGCAAATTGCTTTTATTAATTAGCCTTTCCACTGTCAACTTCCTTATTCATGTAGCAAAATTCCAGTATCAAATTCTTTGTGTGAATAATGGAATTACAATTTGTGTGAAAAAAGTAATACAGCATTTGACTCAATTTTAATAAATCTAACCGTGCAATCGTTCAGATCAATTTCACCGTACATAGTTCTAACAAGGAAATCGGTGCTTGGAGAGAAAGGGACATTTATTTTAATTTATTAGGAAATATATACAACACTTTTAGAAATATAACAGGTGTCGAGATCAATATGTCTAAAATCCCCATAATAAGCTTTGGGTATCATGTACACTCAAATATCAAGTAAATTCAATGATGCCCTATTTCAATTATTTTTTTGATTTGAGGAAACATTTCAGGTTTTACACATAGAATGTTGAAAATTAGAATATATCCATTCCAGAGATTTGGAAAGTCGTCAAAAGAAGATGAGCGACTTAAAAATTGTGCTCCGTATTCTATTCATATACACATTTTCTAGAAGTGAGAAATTAATCAAAGCTCAAGGCGAAAAAAGTTGTGGCGGGTAAGACAATTGATATATCAGTTGATTTTCTGTTACCTACCAAATTACCTATATTTTCACAACGATAAAACTACCAAAAGTTAGTTATATTAATGCATATTATTTTAATCATATATTCCAAGCCCTCTGATTGGCTTCAACTTGGACACATGATTAAGTATATAACAGCATATAGACGAGTTACTAGTTATAGAATCTGAAACGCATCAAAATTGATACAAAAGATAATCAGACAGATGTACATTTGTAGTATTTTCAATTAGTAAATCCTTCAAATAACTCAAAAAATGTAAAGGAAACACATTTTTATTGAACAGTTAAATCTATTTTGATTTTTTGGTCTCTAAATGTTTAAGAGAGAAAACTTCAGTCTTGTTCCCACTTTTTCAAATTGTCTTTTATCAACCTCTGTAAAAAATAATATAACAAATGTAGCCCTGTAATTGGTCAATCCATAGATATATCGACTTCACAGAAAAGCATATTGACCTCGCACTTTGTGCTCGTTCAATATGCTTCTCTGTGAAGTTGATATATCGATGGATCAACCTCATCAAAGGGCTATGTTTATATATTATTTTATCGTATGATAACTTGATGCGTTGCCATTTTTGACAATATGTTTGAGCATTTTGATGCATGTTATATTTTTTTCATTTATTAATGATTGCCATGTTGCATTTCTGTACAGCTTTGCTAATTTTAAAAAGTCCATAAATTGTGGTGTGCAAAACACCTATGAGAATATGCATAATCATGACGTTAAAACCTAAAATATTTAATCAAAATGACGAAAATAATATTTGGATACGTTATTTAAAGACAAAATTCATTTACAGAACTCTATAAGACATTTTCTGGAATTTTTATACTGTCCTTTTTGAAATAATTTTTATTTTATCAAATAAATTCTGTAAACTAAAATAGTTATGTAAGTTGCAGAATTTATTTAAATGTCAATACTTCATTAATCAAAATTAGTTATCAACACTAAACAAGAGGCCCATGGGCCTTATAGGTCACCTGAGCATTATGCAACAACTTTCCAGTGATTGAATTTGATTCATGTTTTAATCCAGATGCTATGGCATTCACAGTTTTGAAAGAGGCACCATTGATAATCATAACAATACACTTAGCAGTTGCTTAGTTTGTTTACTTAATACCCATACGCAGGGTAAGGGAACACAAAATGCATTTCAACTAATCAGTAATATTCAGCAATAATTAGTAGTGCCCCTACCATACATGAACCCCTGACCCTTAGGCCTTGATATTTGATTAATACCAAGGAGCAGATTTCAAACCATTCATTCATTTTCAGTATATAAGTACACCCCCCTCTATGGTACCCCTGACCCTGGGGCCTTGAAATTCACAATTGTGGAAGATCTGGGCCCTTGTCCATCATAACTATATTCATTTGGTAGTTCATCTGCTTAATACCCTGGAGCAGAGATTGATTGATTGATTGTGTATTGTTTAACGTTTAGAATAATTCATATATACTTCAGACTGACCATATGCCGGTGAATGGCTTCAAAAATTGATTAATTTAAAATAACCATTGAGCAAATAAAAATTATATTTCAATTAGTGCCAGCACCTGGCTGACACGGGGCCTGTCCCAAGTAAATGGAAAAGAAATCACTTGAAAGTGCCGATCGCATGCCGAACAGGAAAGTTGCTACCCTTTGGAGAGAGCATGCGGACAACAAGACCACAGTAAGGAGTTACCTCCCGATCAACAAAAGTGGTTCATAGAATGCAAAATCATCATAAATTTCCAATGCCTCGTCAAGGGAGTATAAACAGATATCTTTGTAAATGTTATTTTTGTGAATATATTTTATTATAATCAAAGAGAAAATAATCTAATTTTAGAACCTTTTCCTTTTTGTTACTAAAATTTTCACATTTGTATTCGAGGCACATGAAGTGAGAACTCATCATAAATGATTAGCCAAGGTAGAATCACTATCAGAAACTTCATTGAAGATGAAAAATATATTTCTAATCGAATTCATGTACAAGTATATAACAAAATTTTACATTAAAAACTTTGTATTGATGCAAAATTATATACAATTATCTGGCAGAGGCAACAAAGTTTTGTAATGACTTACTTTATATTTATTTAATACCCAGGATGCAGAGAAAGACTTTTCAAAGAAATTGATGTACAATTTCCTATATAAAGGCTTTGAAACCCCCGTCCTAACACCAGAACCCCTAACCCTGGGGCCATAAAATTCACAATTTTGGTAGAGGCACTCTTGCTCTTCATAACTATGTATTTAGTTAGTTTATTTAATACCTGTAGAACAATTTTTCAAAGAACTTCTCCTATTTTTCACTATTAATCAATATAACTTGGCACACAGGTACCCCTGACTACTATAAAATACATAATTCTGTGTATCGGTTTTTGATCTTCGATATACGGCGTTGCTGTTGTTATAAAAAGGAGAAATTTCTATGAAATTCTTTCAAAATGCTGCTCCGCCTACAGTTTTGGTCTGATTTCTATATAACTTGGCACACAAGTAGACTACACAATTTAATTCTGTGTATCGGTTTTTGATTTCGATGAAACAGTGTTGTTGTTGTTACAAAAAAAAAAAATTTCTTAAAATTTTTTTAGTGCTTTTGGCACCTCCTACAGTTTTGCCCCAGATTTCAATATAAATTAGCACACAAGTAGACTTCACCCATAATTCTGTGTATGGCAGTTTTGGTTCAAATTGGGGTTGCCATGGTTGTTAAATATAAAAATTTCTGTTTAATACTCTCAAAATGCTTATCCAAATAGTTTACTCAGGTGACCTATTATAATATAATGGAAATCAAGTAGACTAAAATTAGAACATAAAGAGACTTAATCAAGGATCATTATTCTATTTTTTGTTGTGGAAAAGTTTCAATTTCCAGCCGTATGTTAACTTTTCTCTTCCTTTGCTATAAGTACAAACCAGTAGAGCTTCAGTCTCGACAGAGACTTGTTTTGACATGTATTTCCTTATGCAAGGTTGTATAGCTAAGGCTGATTTTCAAATTGTTACATAAACATGGCTTTCTGAAACACCTTCACATGCTTAAGGTTAGCAAAGACAAAAGTCAGTGACGGTCTTAAGTGAATAGTTTTTCCTGAAAATAGCTTTATTTGGCTAAAAACAAATCCGAACTTTCCCATTTGGTTTCTGAACGACTTGGCAGATAGGGCTGATCAATCTTGATGTCAAATTTTCCTTGGGTAGACATCCAATTCAATATTAAATGATCATATACTTTCAAAGTCCTTTACATTTTGAAATATATTGAAAATATCTTCTTTACTGTGAACATAATTCACCAAATTCAATTCAAGTCGAAGAACAGTGGACATCATCATCAACGATCTGTATTTCTAGATTCTTAAAATCATGATCCTTGTCTCTCACTGACGTACGGATTTTTCCACAGGCTTTCACGGCATATCCAAAGTTGGAAAATAATATATAGTAAAAAAAATCATTTGTTTAGTGTCAATGCTGGCATAAAAGCTTAAACCTAAGTGAAAACATCATGACGTAGTGTAGAGTATCAATTTTAAGGTGGATGGATTTTGTGTCATTGACTATTAGCTTCACTGTCCAAACATATATATGTCAATTGAATACACAAAAAAGACATCATCTGAGTCTTTCACGGCTCTCTTCAATATGATGAACTTTTGCTTTCCTAGTGTATCTGTATTTGACTTGCACAAATTGCAAATTGTTTCTTCCGATTACACTTATTACATGATTTTCCAAAGCTGGACAATCTGGCCCCTTAGGATGATCTTATCCACAGTTTTTACACTGACCTTTATTTTGAGGTGGCGCATCCTTCTGTTTGTACCTCTGCTTCTTGTCTAAGACTACGTAATGTTTTTCAGGTTCTCACATTTCTCGGAGCTGCAAATCCGACTCTTCCGCGCTGCCCTACAAATGTCTATGGCACTCTGCAGTGTGAGTTCTCGTTCTTAATGAAATATTTTTATATATATCACTACCATATTTTACAAACAATTCAATCTCTAAATAATTTAATTTTAG